TGTGGAGTACATGCGACCCTTAATAGGCAATCGGATATCACGGGGCGCCACAGGTGGCGTGAGATGGCAAAAGCCAGCCGAGCTTTTTGTATTCGTGGAGAGATTTCATCGGCCACTGAGTCACCAGGGTAGGGCTGATCCCACTTCCCAGGTAAGTGAAGTGGTCGACACACTCAATCACTGCACTCACTCTATTGTTAGCCTCAGTGGGGCACCGTTGAAGACGAATTCCGGAGCAACAGTTCGCATTTCGGTGGTGAGAAACGCATCCTAAACATTCTCAAATTGTCCAGAAGACTGCATCTTGTCAGTATCTTCACCTCACAGGACGATTTCATCTATTTTATCTAACGGAAATTATTCTGTGATTAAGTCAACGTCTGTGTAATTAGGTGACAAGAGGGAAACCTCCATAAGAATATCTATGATAAAATTGAATAAGAATGGAGACAGTGGGCACCCTTGATGGACACCACTCAATGAACGTAGCTCCCTGGACATCTCACCATAGGCTCTAACACACCCACAAGTGTTCGAGTAGAGAGCCTTCCATAAGGTGATGTACTTACTAGGCACGCCTTTCAGTGAGACATTGCAATAAGATTCCTCGAATCAACGGAGTCGAATGCCGCCTTCTGGTCGAGGAATTCAGCTATTGTCGAGCGTCGGTAAGCTTGTCTATGTTCCAAGACCTGCCACAGTGTGAATATTTGGTCGATACACCCGCGGCTGGGTCTAAAACATCCTGGTTTTCTCAGGCTTTCTGTTTTCGTGCTCCACTCAGGCGTCAAAGAGTTAGAGAACCAAAGATCTTGGACAGGCTGATTCCTCTGTGGTCATGACAAGAGGACTCGCCTTTCTTGAAGACTGGGATAATGAGTAACTTAGACCAGTCAGAGGGGATCGTATTTGATTCCCATATACTAGCTAACACTTCCGTTAACCTAAGAGCACCTTGCCACCATTCTTGTATACCTCAGCAGGTAGTCTATCTGGTCCTGCCACCCTTCCTCGTTTCAGGTTACTTACCGCTTTCTCGACTTCTGCTAGTATTTGGGGGCCTATCTTAATGTTCCTTTCTGTATCCGACTGGATAGCGGGCAACGCAACGGTGGCTGGAGGCCATTTCAACTGCTCCTTGAAGTGTCCTACCCATCGTTCCAGTTGTCTCCTCTGCGAGTGAATCGCAGATCCGTCCTTCTCTGCCATAGCCTCACTAACTGTTGTTGATCTTTTCCCCCCAGTTTCCTTAATAAGTCTAAATAACTGTCTACTGTTACCAATCGTTGCTGCCATTTCCATCTCCTTAGCCCTCGCTGCCCACCACTGTTGGTGGTCGTTGCGTAGACTTTTTCTCAATCTACTTTGAAGTTTTGCTCGCTCTTCATTGTACTCGGAGCCTGCAGGGATAGGTTCACGTGCATCCATTAGTTCGGAAGAAGCTGCTGATATCCACTGGCTCTTTCTAACCACTTTTTCGGAGTCAGCTACGGTCTTCAGCGCTGCTTTTACAGCAGACTAGAGATGGCACCAAGCTTCTTCTTGATGAAAGTGTTCTGTCCCGATAACTGCCTAGTCAATTTCTCCCTAAACATGGCCTTGGTATTTTCGTTGTCGAGGTGGTTGCCAATTTTTTACTACGTGCATTGAGACGCAGGCATATACGCGCTCGGACCAACGCGTGGTCGCTATCCAAACACGTACTTCAGGAGTGGCAGTCTCACCGACCCTCTCCAACGATGATTGATAGCAATATGGTCTGTCTGCCTGTGTCCATCGCTGAGTTGAGCGCGGTGAACGCCGCGTCAGACAGTACCTTCCTTTATGTCTGAAATTTGTGCTAGCTAAAAAAAAGCGGTTATCTGAGCACAGTTGTAGTAGGCAACCACTGTTATCCGTTCGTTCAGCCGGGATTCCAAAAGTGCCACCTGAGTGTCTTTGTGACTCAGTCTACCCACCTATGCATTGAAATCACCTACAACAACCACCACGTCCGAACGTTTGGCTTTCGAGAGGAGGCTAGACAGTTTCCGATAGAACTCGTCCTTCACTTCATCCGAACTGCAGTCAGTGGGTACGTTAGCAGAGATTACAAAGAGACAACGACGAGTTTCACTATTCCTATTAGTTCTCACTGCCGTTCACCTGATCGGCGCAGAGACGACCATCAACTGAAATCTAATCGAGTAGTGAGCTTTCTGCCCTTGTGCTTAATGCTATGCCTGCACCCACAAGACCGCGAGAGCTAGCCATCGAATCTCTAGAAACTCGAAGGGTGAGTTTTGCGGATTCACCAGATTGGCCGGAAGAGGTTAGGTGAATAACCGCACTTGGGTCCTGTATGCGGTCTCACAAACACAGAACACATCCGTGACCCGAGTTGCTAGTTTTGACCAATAAAGCCTGTTGACCAATTTGACGGAGGGTGCGGACATTGAAGGCTCCAATATGTAGTTTGGAGCGTGGTTTAAGGAGACCAGGGATGCCGTTCTGTGAACTCAGATCGTTGTCGAAGGCTACAGAGCTACGAGAAATTGAAGATGATGTAGTATCGTTAGTCGAGAGACGTGGATGAAGATTAGAAGGTAATGATGGGGCACGTGGATAGCAGTGTGAGGAAACTTGAGTTCTGATCGAGTTGTGAGAGCAGTTGACACTTCCCGGCTGCTCACACCATGAAAGGTTATTTCTTCTTAAGATACCTGAAAGAGATTTGCGCGACCGCACAACCCATCGGACATCTGCTTGAGGCCTGTCACACGCAGCTTTTTGTGCATTATTATTTTGAACTTTTGTATTTTTGGGGCCGTGTGGTCGAAAAGAAACAACAAATGAACCAACACCGTTGGATAGGTAATGGGATCTAAGGGTTGTTGAAGAGAAGGAAGCACTACTGGAATCTATTCATAGGAATGGTTTGTGTCATGTTTAAATTAGAATACCACAATATTAGAAAGCATTCTAAGACATCCCTAAACTGTGGAGTGTAGTTAGTGTATGACTTACCCGTCCTGAATGACTTTATTCACATACTAGGCCTAGGATCACAGGGTATAACAGAACGCCCACTCTACTTTCCAGTAAAAACCTAGATGTCTTAGCAGAATAGGACATGGAAAAAGCTGAAAGCCTATCGAATTACTTCAGTCAGATCTTTTCTGTAGATAGTAACACACAAATGTCAAGGAAAGCCAAGGTTGAGGTCCCGCAAATAGTTCCCATTTCGGTGAATACTGCAGCAGTATTTAGATCGCCAAATGATCGGAAACGTGGTAAGTCTCAGGGTTTTGACGGTTTCTACACAGGGCTGTTACTGATCTTGGCTAACACTATCCACGTACTGCCCATAGAGATTTAACGTGTCTCTATCCGAGGGTTGATTACATAATGTGTGTGAAGACGCTGTGTGCCCCATTTTAAAGGATAATAATAAGCAACTATGCCGAGAACACGACTGGGACATTACCAGAACTTTTGGTAGATGTTCCTTCAGTGAACAATGCCAGGATAAATACAGGCTATTCGGCCTACTATCCTTCAGCCTGAAAACTGAAACTGAAGTGCTCTTCGTTTTAAATTCCTATTTCTCGTGATTTGAAGTGCATTTATGGGGTTTTTTTTAACTAGTTCAAGTCATTTATCCGCTTACCGATTATCTGAGGTCGAATGCTGCCCAACGCAGTAAGGACTGGGTATCGAGGTCTACATTCACTATCACTTAATAAGTGGTCATCATCATCATCCATCAGCATAGGACAAGGCACCACTGCGTAACGGTACGAGTTGTCGTGCCTCATATCAGTACATCAAGTAAAACGGCAGTGAAGTAGAAGATGAAGAAGAGAGAATTCAGTCAAAAGAAATATAAAATGCTAAAGAGAGAAAGGAAGAATGAGAAAATGATGAGATTCGGTGTAGCGTTGTTAAGATGAGAATATTATGTGTGGGGATACATCTGTGCCACTGACATCGGTTATGAGCCTTATCACCTACAGTCGGTCTCCAACCACTGGTTCCTCTTGTCCCGAGGACCTCAACCAACTAGTCTGCATCACCCCACATGTCTCAAACCAACAGTCACAGACTTCATGCATTAGTGCCATGTTTTAGTCTGGCCACCTCGGGCCTTTTTCCAGCCTGGACCCACCTCAGCCAACATTGTGTGACGAGACAATCGGTGACTAGGCATACGTAGTACGTGTCCCAACCATCTCAGTCGATGAAGGTTCACAACCTCGTCAACCGACTTACCTCTTCTCTCTAAAACTCTACTCCTGACTTCTGCATTACTCATGTAGTGACACCACGGAATACGTGCTATACCACGAAGGCAACGGTGATCAAACACCTGAAGCCTTTTTATATCTTCCACTTTCAATGGCCATGTTTCACAGCCATACAGTAGAACAGAGCGGACTGCTGTGCAGTACACGCGACCCTTAATAGACAAACGAATATCACGGCGGCACCATAGGTGGCGCAAATTGGCAAAAGCCAATCGGGCCTTAATAAGTGGTACTCAATATTTACTGTATTAACGTGTGCATGATCATTATATGCATTTCAAATGTCTTCTTTAGACGAATTTGACATAATCTTAAATATTTTGTGACCTATCTCACAGGTCCAATGTTCCATGTCTTTTATCTAAAGATTGACTTTTGGGACGGATAAAATTACTGAAAGTATCGAGTCTGTAGTATTAATTCTTTTGTAAATTCAAGTTAGAGATATGCCAACGCTAATTGTTTACCATCTGTTGTTCTTTATTTAGAATCCTCAAGGAGTTGTAAACAGTGGAGAAAACACTCTTTGTAACCAGTATTAATTCAACACGAAATTCACTAGTTCGAAAAATGCTTCTATTAGACGTGTATTGAGGGAAATCACCTCACAGCGGTTAGTTTTCCAGTATACCGACTGAGAACGTATTTTATGTTTTCCTACTCTGGTTTCACGGGAAAATATAATATCTTCAAGCACCTATTTGTCTCACAACTATGTCCACAGATGCAATTACACCACAGCTGAGGCAGAAGGTATTAGAACAACTGTAAGTTCCTGATATTTACCTTGTTTTACTGTCATTTAGACTAAACTCTTTAAGACCGTGTTTTTAAAATGGTTTCTTGGTTTTAAAATCTTGATACGTGTGTATATGCACTACTAAAAAGTGTCCCCAGTGAATATTTATCACGCTTACATCAGATCAAACTTCAAATTCCTAATTATAAATCTGCAATAGCATATCTTTCCAAGTATTAGTTCTCGCATACATTCTCTTTAGGGAATTAGGTGTGTATGATTTCCTTGCAGGTCTTGTGAAATCAGTAAAACCTGAATGTGATCTATCTAAATGTTAACTTTTCTACATGTTGTCACCAACTTTTCCATTGGATTAGTAAGTATTTAGAGGTTCTTCATATACGATTGCTGGGATGCCGTCTTGCTGAGTTGCAGTCTAGAGGTAACATGATCACTAATACCATAGTTTGGTCGATAGTTAAAATATTTGATTATGCGATGCAGTTTCATATGTACAAATGTAATCGTAGCCAGGCAGCGCATATATATTCGAAAGCTTGATAAACAACTTGAAAAGCAAATGATCCTAACATTTTTAGATAATCTCAATGAGAAATTCTCAATGGATGTATGACTGACGTTTACACGTGGGTGAGTGGGTGTAATTAAAATATTATATTAGGTTGCATTCTAACAGCAAGGTAGTTGTTATACTTCCCTTGGCATCTCATCGTACTGTTTCGCTCAATAATTACGTAGGAAAGTCATAATTAACTGTAGTGTGAAAGCTGTCGTTCGGCGTTGGTTCGATCATAGTGCATTAATGACCTATTCATCAAACAATGCATCAAGTACAGATATATCTTACAAAACTGATTCGATATAGTTTGCAGTTTTCTGCCACTAAGTAGTGCTTTTACTGAGAACTGCTTTTATTCTGTTTGCTTTTAGGCGCGAAGTAACTTCAGCACGCAAACTCCCAAAGTCTCCTGAAGAAATTGAAAATCTCATGCTTGAAAAGTCACATGGTGTTAAAGTAATTATCCTAAGTTTAATAATCTTCATTCTGTTTTAGAAAACGTATCTTAATCTCTTATCTAAGGTTATCAACTCAGGTAAGTGGTATTATTTACTTTCAGAAGATTTAAACCTATTTACTTGCTTGATTTGATAAGTTGCAAAGATTTTCGGCTTCAAGTCTATAGATTTATTATGTTTCCTAATAATCCTTTAGTGTGAAATAATCAGCGCACGTATGCTTTAAGGGATCAAGGAGATAGTAAGAAAGTTCAGTAGTTTATTGATGGGTACCACTTAGATGCTACTGAGTACCATAGCATGTTTTTGTTGAGACATGTAGCTTAGATACTCTTAGGCTCCCACCCACTTCCTTTCGTCGTTTAAGTTAAAGTCGGCAGCTGTGTGGTTCGTATTCGTGTAGTCTTTACGAAACCAGAGTTTTTGTTTTTCATCTAATCTAACAAGTGCCCAATGTAATCGGTTTCAATACATTTGTAACTACTTAATGGAAAATTGTCGTAATAAATCGCTCTGCCTCATTTCATAAAGATTCCGCTCTCTATAGTCCCGATTAGGTTGCTCCATCGAACTCAGAGGGTTTCTAGATGATGTCCAGGTCTGGGCGTAAACATTGTAGTTGACTGATGTCCTGAACTTAATCGTATTTATTCAATAACCTATAACAGTAGGGTGTGTTACACAATGTTTATGAGAAAAATTCAGTAGCATCTTCAAATTCATTCAGCAGGTTTTAGATCGTACTTATCTTGTGAAGTCTAATGATACTATCCAATGTCTTAGACTGTAATCCGTGTGGCCAGTTTGAAATAATGAACAGATGTGTAAAGTCAGTTGTGTAAACTATTGAATGAGAAATTGACCTTACAAGAAAATGAGCATTATAGACGCAAATGTATTATTAAGAAAGACAGTGTTATACGTGTTTTCCATTGGCAAATCTCACATTTAGCTACTCATTACCTTATCTTACAAGTTGTAAAATGAGTTCAACTTTTAATCAAAACTGTCAAAGCTTTCTATAGCTAATCTAGACTCCTTTTCATACATTCACCGTCCTGATGAGCATCATCCTTTAATCTAGGTAAACATAAGGTATGTGTAGAAGGTAATATAATCCTTAGATTTGTCAAAAACTGATCGTTACACCCAGTAGACATTCGTACAACTGGTTTAAATGACTTAAGCATGATTCTAGACAGTATAATCCAGATTCCCTCGTCAGTTTAAACTAACCGATGTTGGGCATCACCTTTTTTAAATATTAGCTTTTTTCTTATATTCTCGTTGTAATCACAGGGTTATATATAACCGAACATTTGATAGGTTTTAGTTGGATGGAGGCAATCGGCAGGACGCCCTGGACCTAGGTTTCGAACATTGTATTACATTTTATTTAGTTTTAAACGGTAGAAAGCAGTTAGCAGTGTTCAGCTGGATTTAACTTCGGCAACAGAACCAGGGGAATACAGTAAAATAGGACCAATTAGTAGATAATTTATTGTCCATGATCATATCAAAGACTGTAGCGATGATATAAATATAGGCGCTAAACTGTTTTCAAAAGGTCGTCTTGTAAGCTATGCTGTTTCATTGTGCGATACACCTAACAAACAGATTACTGTGTGATTATACTGTACCGCAACACTTCAGTTTAACGTCTATAGAAATATGTAACACCTAACAATTAGTGAAACATTTTTTCGAAATTCTAGGTGCTGGTGGATCCAGTGGATCAGCCAATATTCATGTTCCTCCAAATGATTCCAATATTCAAATGCAATCTGTTGGAAGTAATTTTCAAATAAATGGGCAACAACAACTAATGAATACCCAGATCATTTCTCTACCACGTTCTGGGCCCACTTCAGTTCAATCACATCCTCAAATCCTCCAAGTTATGTCACAAAGTATGCAACAAAATCATAGTCCAATCAATCGCCCCAGATACACTATCAGTTCACATCCTGTCCAACAGCAATATCAGTCATATTCTCAGAAGGGTATCATTCAACAAGATGGTACTATTATTGGATCACAATCAACACATTGTGTTCCAATCTCAACGATGGCCAATCGTGTAAGTCCTGACAAACTGATATTTAATCGTTTCGCTGGAGAGCAAGTTCACGAAACTATTTCAGTGATTTATCCTTTAAAAGTAATTGAGAAGAATTAAATGTCTTCAAATGAATGTACATTTAAAATGTCACTTTGCTTCATTATACAATTAGAAGTAGTTTAACAGTAGGTTTCTGTACAACTAAGCAATACTTAATGGAAAGTTAAATGTTTTGCTGAATGTGTCTGATTTTAGCACAGAATAGAATATAAAGTTATGTCATCTTTGAACATTAATGTAGGCTATGCGCAGGTAGCTCTTCTTTTCCCATGTGTACACGTTACACTGCAGCCCGTTTCGTCCTGTTATACAGCTGGGAGATATGGATTTGATCACAGGTGTCTCCATAGTATCGCTTGTGTTTGGTGGAATCACTGTGTAAGCAATGTTGAGGTCAGACGAAGGGTACTAGCCAAGTTGATTGATGAGGTTCTGAACGTTCATCGACTGAAATGGCCTAGACATGTACCGCGCATGACGATCCACCACCTACCTCGACGTGCAATGCTTGGGGAAGTTGGATTTTGTTTGGAGAGGACTCGGGGTGACCACACCGAGACATAGCACCAGTTCACCAAGTCTCTGACTATTGGTCTGAAGCATGTAGTAAGGAGTAAACTACCCGGTTGGACTCCGTGAAGCCATAGGAATCAGTGATTGAGGACCTTTGGTGACATGACTGAAAATAGACCAAAAAGGGCACAGAGTTTCCAAGGCTTGAGTATTCGTTCTCACCTTGGTCCTCAAATTCTTTGTTCGCTCATACAACTTTGCCAACTTTGATATTGTATATATATATATATATATATATATATATATATATATATATATATATATATATATATATATATATATATATATATATATATATATATATATATATATATAACCTGTTTCCATGCCCATTTTCTTATAATTGTAGGTTATTTTGCCGTCAGGTGTTACAGTCACTCAGTCAGGTCAAATTATTCAGTGTACCACAGGATCTGGCCAGCAACCATCAGTCCTTATATTCCAACAACCTCAGTCACAATCTATGTCACAAATAACTTCTGTGTCATCTGTTGATCAGTCTCTTTCACGTCAGGCAGTAATTAAGTAAGTATCGAATTTGGGCAGTGCAGTAGAGTTTGTTTCCATGTTAGATTAGTCTATTTAATGTAACACTGATAGGGTATCATTTAATACGTAATCAGTGGTATTAATTAACTAGGTTGATTGGTTACCGTTTGCTTACATCTACAGATTAGGTGGAAAAGAGTCTTTTCATCGTGTTTCATCCGGGTAATGGGCTAGATTCATTGTCAGATGAAAACAGTTAAACTGTTTGTGGAGAAAATACCTCTTTTTGGACAGAATTTAATTTTACTTTATATTTACATTTACTTGTGGCTTGTGATTACAAATAGTTATAAATTTATCCTAATTTGACGATTATTATGTGAATTCCATGATTGTTGTTGTTTAATTTGATCCATTTCAGTGCACAGGCTACGGGACCATCTGGCTCCCTTAAACCAGGTTGTCAGCAAGATAACGTTTACGGTATGTTTGAATTATCGAGTTGATTTTCGTCATTATAGTATTTTTACTGTTGTTGTTGTTGTTGAAATACTTTTGTTCTTGAAAAGGACTTGTAACCTCGGTTGTCTATGTGAATTGTCGATGCATGTCATTTATATTTTCTGACTGGGTTGCACCATTCTCATGTCGCTTTTCGAGGCACCGCCTACCTCGACGTGCAATGCTGCTATTGCCTTGACGTGGTGATCATGCTTGCATATCACAGTGACTCAATGAGCTATGCTAGTGGAACACTTGTTCGCTCGAGGTCCTACCATGCCAGGAAGGTCTGCTGGATAGTGGTAAGATGAAAAGCAGTTGCCGTTTTAGGTTAAATTACTGCACTATGATGGGGCTCTAAGAGCGAATTCGTACTACTGCTAGCTGGATAAGGTGTGACAGCAGTAGGGTGTTTCCCTTCGATGACCAGCGATGCCACGCTAATGCTACCTTCCCAACGGAAAGGGGGGTTAGCGAAGGTTGGCCTCTAAAACAACACCCCTACCCCCATCACGGCATCCCGATGCCTGCAACAGGAATTCATAGTCGGACTCAAGAGCAAAACCTTATAATCTCAAAATTGCCAAAAGGCCATATGTGATCGGCCCCCATGGGATTTAGGGTCACACACTATCTTTTGTTTTCCAGATACCTCAAGAAGGACTAACCTTCCATGATGTAAACAGCCGGAAGGTGTCAACTGTTCCCACGCTTCCAGTAGTACACAAGACCTAATCGAACATAACCTATTCCCTTCAACTCTGTCTGCTCCCTTACCTTCACCTCTTGATACCATTATCGAGCCTCTTACGCCCTACCCAACCTCTTACTCTTCAACATTTACCATGGAACAAAGCCATCATAACCTCATTCCTGGTCTCCTAAGACGTTTGAACTCTATGGGGAATTGAACAGCAAGCATCGTCCGCCAGAACTCTAGAATCTTGAGTCATAGATATACGGTGTGTATCTGAGACGTGAGTGTGGTTACTAATTTGACCTGACCTGGCCAGCGTTGTGAATCTTGAAAATTCACCTTACGAGCATCCGGAGACCTAATGGCTAGCTTTCGTGGACTCGTTGGTGTAGGCATATCATTGATTTGTAGAGTAGTAAATGTGCCCCTCGACTGGATACCGGTCATCAGCCGTCTGTGTGGTGTTCAACTGAATGATCTGTAAGAACTAGGAAGGATCGTGAAACTAGGCGATACCTATTCATAATCTCCCCCTACGCACCCACAGCCTGTAGTTTCAATGATGCAAAGAATGAACTCTATCACAAGCTGTCAATTTTGCTACAGAAGGCAAAAAGATCAGATGTAGTCATAACGGTAGGTGACTTTAACACTCGAGTAGAGAAGCTGAGACCATCGGAAAGGTTTCTTGTAGGTATCTACGGAATCCCATGCCAACGAACCGACAACGGTGATGGTCTATTGTGATTTTGTTCCGACAGCCGCCTGTTTCTGGCCGGCACTAACTTTAAGCATAAGGAAAGACATTGTTTCATATGGCGCATGCCGACATCAAACCAACGATGGACACAAATAGATCTCATTGCTGTAGGTCGTTATTGAAGAGGATCAGCAGAGGATTGCTGCTCTTTCTGGAGCACCATTTTGGACTCCGATCACGCGCTAATGTGGGCTCGCTTTACTGGTAGCAGGAAACAGGAAGCAGTAAGGCCGATGTGTACTCGATTGGAAGATGAGAACGCGAAGTACTCATTAAGGGACGGGTTAGCTAAGCATTTATCTGACCGTGACATCAATGCTCATCCTGAGCAAACCTTAAGTCTGCTGTAGAAACATCGATGAAGACAATTTATAACCTACACCCGAAGGTGAGCATATTTCATTGGATTCCAAATGCCATTATCCGAACTGATTGATGCGAGAAGGCTGATTCCAGCCAGCTCTAACCACGACGAAGAGCGAAAACAACTTAAACGCAAGTTGACCAAGAGTCTTCGCGTCAATCACGAGTAGGGTTAGTGGCGAAAGCGAGAAAGATGGAGAAGGCATCAGTGTTGGTCAACACTCGGCAATTATTTAGGCTGATTAAGGATATCGGCAAGAAGAAGATGGTGGTGAGTGAAACCAGAACCAGAAAGGATGCGATGCTGATAACCTCCCAGGATAGGGGGCTTGAAAGTTGAGTAGAACACTCTGAAGCACAGTTCAACTGCCCATCAGCACTGCTTCAGTTGCCTAGCATCCAGCCTGAATGTCAGTCCTTCAAATCTTGGAGTTGAGTAAGCCGTATCGAACCTGAAACGATGGAAAGCAGCAGAACCTGACAGTTTTCCACCTGAAGTTTTCAAGGATAGAGGTGGAAAATGTCTGATTAGAGTGGTGGAGGTGCTAGGCAGTGTATGGGAATTAGGGGGTGATGCCGTCAGATTTACGTACTTCACTGATCATCTTAGCATATAAGAAGGGGGAGAAATCTTCTCGTGACAACCATGGGGGAACTACTTTGACCAATATTGTGTTCAAGGTCGTAGGATCCATAGTTATCCGGTGTCTCACTGGAGCTCGAGAACAACAAACTCGATAAAACCAGGCAGGTTTCGGAGTTGGTCGAGAATACATCGATCATATTTTTACCCTCGGACAGGTTCTGGAACAGGCTTACCTTACCAGCCAGTGACGGACACTTGTCATATTTCTTGACCCGGGGACACTATTTGACCCAGGTGACCGTGCTGTGTTGTATCAGTGTCTGGTTGTGCAGAGAGTAACGAGCAGATATATAAGGCTAATCAAAGCTCTGTACTCGAACTCATGCAGCCATATAAGGGTTTATGGAGGGTTATCATGTGAATTGACGACAACTAGTGTTTCTGCAGGGATGTCCACTGTCGCCATTCTTATTTAACGTCGTTATAGACGTATACTGAGCATAACCCTATGTACATCTGACTTCTAAGGGAATGACCTACTCCCTGAAGGTCATGATGTTGATTTGGAGTATGCAGACAATATTGTCCTGCTAAGTGAAGATGCTGACAAAATGCAGGGTCTTCTAAACATGCTGAGCAGAAATCTGAGTATGCTTGGCATGCGTTTCGCTCGTATCTGTCAAATGTAAAATGATGCTTCAGAACTGGTTTGGTGCAAGTACTGCCAGCTTAGTGACAGAGATTGCAGTAGTGGAATGTGTTGACCACTTCACTTACTTGAAGAGTTGCATCAGCTCGGACGGACTGTTTGTTGATAAAATCTCAGGTCGGATACAGAAGACCCGTTTGGCACTTCTAAGCTCGCGTCATTTTTGGTGCTGACTGACAAGATATCCGACTGGCCATCAAAGGATGGGTATGCTGCGCTGTATCGTAATCCGTCCTGTCGTGTTAGACGCCATTGAGACAGCGTTTGGTGTAATCACAGTGCGGGTAATGTTGAGGTGAGATGAAAGGTACTAGACAAAACAATCAAGTTGAATGATGAAGTTGTGAACGTTCACTGACTGAAATGTTTTGAGATGTACTGCGCATATCGAATCACCGCCTACGTTGACGTGTTATGCTGGTGGAAGTTGGACTAGTTTGGAAGGTGGTTCAGGGTGGTCAGACGAAAACGTGGCACGAGTCAATGAAGTCTCTTACTATTAGAGTCATGTGGTAAGAAGTAGACTACCTGGCTGTGGTCTTCGAGACGATAGATGCCAGTAGTTGAGGACTGTTGGTGACACGATTGAAAATCATCATCATCATCCATCAACATAGGAGCAGGAATTACCGCATAACAGTCCGAGTTGTCACACCTCATATCACTACATCAAGTAGAAAGGCAGTGGAGCGAAAAACGGAGAAGAAAAAATTCAGTCAAAAGAAATATAAAGTACCAAAAGAGAGAAAGGAAAAGTGAGAAACTGGTGAGATTCGGTATAGCATCGTTAAGATGAGAATAATGTGTGTGGAGATACATCTGCGCCACTGACATCAGTTCTGAGCCATATCTTCACCTAGAGTCTCCAACAACCACTGGTTTCTCTTCTCCCGCCAACCCCAACCGGCTAGTCTACACCGCCTGCCTACATCACTCAAACCAACAGTCAAAGACTCCATACATTGATGGCATGTTTTAGTCTGGCCACCTCGAGCCTTTTTCCAGTCTGAGACTACTACTTCGACCAAGATTGTGTGACGAGGCAGATGGCGACTAGGCATACATAACACATGTCTTAACCATCTCAGTCGATGAAGGTTCACAACCGTGTCAACAGATTTACCTCTTCTCCCTAAAACTCTACACCTGACTTGTGCGTTGCTCACTCACGAGGTGACACCACGAAATACGGCCTATACTACGAAGTCAACGGTGGTCAAACACCTGATGCCTTCTCATGTCTTCCACCTTCAATGGCGATGTTTCACAGTCATAGAGTAGAACTGTGGTGTGGAGTACATGCGACCCTTAATAGGCAATCGGATATCACGGGGCGCCACAGGTGGCGTGAGATGGCAAAAGCCAGCCGAGCTTTTTGTATTCGTGGAGAGATTTCATCGGCCACTGAGTCACCAGGGTAGGGCTGATCCCACTTCCCAGGTAAGTGAAGTGGTCGACACACTCAATCACTGCACTCACTCTATTGTTAGCTTCAGTGGGGCACCGTTGAAGACGAATTCCGGAGCAACAGTTTGCATTTCGGTGGTGGTGAGAAAACCGGTCACAGTGGTGCAGATATATTCACTTCTTGATATCTTCTAAAGCTTATCTGTTTGCACTAATCATTATCATCAGATTGCTTATTCTTTTACACTACTTCATCTTCTTCGACCTCACTCTTTTTCTATCAATCTGTTCTTTGTATACTACTGTAAAATGTGGAAAGTTAAAACCGATGCAGTTGTGTGCGAAGTTCTTCGTTGATTTTTTCAGTCAGTCAGTGTATGATTCTATGAGGTATGACGTCCTGTACTGATTTTCTTTAGCATCTTAAGACTTTATTAGAAGTTGTTCTCTTTGTCGATTT